TTAGCATTATTATTATTATCATCATCATCATCATTCTTACTATTATTATTATATTATTGTTATTATTATTAGTAGTATTTGTAATCGTGCTATTCTTCTTATCGTTAGTATTAGTATTGGTATTACTTCTACCATTACAATTATTAGTACTATTATTATTATTATCATCAGTAATACTATTATTATTATTATTAGTACTATTATCAGTATTACTACTACTAGTATTATTAGTAGTATTAGTATTAGTGGTATTAATAGTATTACAATTATTATTGGTAGTATTATTAATAACATTATTATCATTCGTATGATTATTATTAGTCGTCTTGTTCTTCTCCTCCTCCTCCTCCGTATTAGTATTCATATTCGTATTCGTCTGCGTCTTATTATTTTTATTCTTATTATTATCATTGTCATTATTCGTATTATGTGTCTTATTAGTATTCTTAGTATCCTTATTCTTCTTATCATCATTATTATTACTATTATTATTCTTATTGTTCGTATTATTATTATTATTCTCAGTATCATTATTATTATTGTTATTATTATTAGTAGTAGTACTAGTATTGTTCTTCGTATTCGTATTCGTATTCTTCTTATTGTTCCCATTCTTCGTATTATTATTATTATTCACATTCGTATTGGTATTATTATTCGTATTAGTATTAGTATTATTCGTCTTCTTCCTATTATTAATAATATATAAAAAAAAATCTTCTTATGTGCCTTCTTATTATTCCTCCTCCTCCTCCTCCTCCTCCTCCTCCCTCCTCCTCCTCCTCCTCCTCCTCCTCCTCCTCCTCCTCCTCCTACTCCTCTTCATCGTCCTCCGCCTCCTCCCCCTCTTTCTCCTCATCGTCCTCCTCCTCCTCCTCCTCCTCCTCCTCCGCCTCCTCCGCAACCTCCGCCTCCTCCTCCTCCTCTTCCTCATCATCATCATCATCCTCATCCTCCCCTTCGCATGAATCAGTAAGTTCCCGCCTGTTGGCTGGCTGTCGGCCGCAGTTGGGCGGCCGTTTCGTTTCCTCATGTTCCTCTTCGACTTAACACTTGCATGCGAAAAACGCATGTTGAAACAAATTTTTCTTTCGAACATGACGCGTCGGATCGTGTAGGTCACGAATTGGCAGATGATGGCGGTGGCAGTGGCTGCTGAAGATCGCAAGGATTTCCTTGGAAGATCGCGGTCGTCTTTCAGTCAGGTGTTGCTTCCTCTTTCTTAGCAGGTCGTACGAACACGATTTCATAATCATCCCTGCAACGAGACGAACTCAGACTGAATATGCAGTTGTCAGCTGCGCTAACGCGAATGTTCGCCTGTTGAAGCGAGTGCTCTAATTACTCCGACGGTTGTACCCCACATGATAATATGTTTCGATTGGCCTTGGCCCTGTCCTCCTCGCCCTGGCGGACACCCTCCTCTCGCCCTCTGCTCTGCTTTTTTTTTTTCTCTCTCTCTCTCTCTCTCTCTGCCTCCTCCATATATGTATCCCCCCCTCCTCTTCATTTTTCATCCTCGTCCTCCTTCTCCACCTCCTCCTCCTCCTCCTCACGACCGCCGTCCCTCATGAGTTTTCCCCCCTCCTCATCCTCCTGCCTCTTCTCCACGTGCACCTCCCCCTCCCCCTGGTCGGGGCAAGCAAATCGATTTTCCTCGACGCCGTCGCCGCCTCGGCCAGCACGCGCGCCTTCGCCGACGGCTGGATCACGAAGCCTTCGGGGCAAACCCGCGGGCCATGCCTCTGGGGCAACCCCGCAGGCCGTTGGGGCGCGCGGGCAGGCCGTCAGGACAACCCCGCGGGCCGGGCCGTTGGGGCAACCCCGCGGGCCTCGAGGCAGGCGCGGCCGCGCTCAGGCAGGGGGCAGCGAGGAGCCCAGCCGCGCTGCGAGCTGCTCCGCCTCACCCCTGGAGACCTTCGCCTTCTCATTGGACTTCTTGAGCGCCTTCCGCAAGGGCGCCGACGGCCCGCGCTCCAGAACCTCGCGCGAGGGCGGCCGCAGGATCAGCATGTCCCGCACGCACGTGGCGCGGGAGAAGATGACGTAGAGGTGCAGCCGCTACTGCTCGTCCGACATGCCCGCGGGGCCAGCGTCCTCGTCCCTCGCGCAGTCGATGGTGACGCCCTTGCACAGCGTCTGGCCCTGCGACAACGTGGAAGTGAGGTAAGACGCGCGCGTCAAGGTGAACCCGGAGCGGCGCGCGACGTGCGGCCCCGAACTCTGCCACGTAAGTTCCTGCTCGCTGGGCCGGAGCATTAGCAATCTACTCGCCCGCGCCTCGGCCTCGCCGTCGTCGGCGCCTTCGGCGCCCTGTCGCAACATCTCGGCGACCTCCTGGTAGATCGGAGACTCCTTGAAGCCGTGCACCTGCAGCCTTCAAACGTTTTTCTTCCAACGAAACAGCTCCTTCAGTGGAAATGAACCGCTGTGGGGGCCCATGTAGAAGGAGTTTGGAGGGAGGGTTTATTCCAACATCGTTGATGACCCTTGGGTTTACACTTGTCCTCCTCCTCCTCCTCCTCCTCCTCCTCTTCCTCCTCCTCGTCCTCCTCCTCCTCCCCCTGCTCCTCCCCCTCCTCGTCCGCATTATCCTCCTCCTGTTCCTGCTCCTCCTCCTCCTCCTCGTCCTCCTCCTTCTCATCTTCGTTTTCCTGGGCCATCGTCCTGGTCCTCGTCTTCGTGGTCGTCTTCGTCGTCGTCCTCCTCCTTCTCGTCGTTGTCCTCTTCATCCTTCTCATCCTCCTCATCGTCCTCGTCCTTATCCTCGTTTTTGCCCTGGTCGTCGTCCTCCTCGTCCGCCTCATCCTCCTCCGCCTCCTCCTCGCTGTCGCCAAGAGTGCCCCGAAAGAGCTCCAAAACCTACATGCTTGCCTACGCCCCTTCTTCAGACAACTCCCCTGGGCATCGTTTCTGGATGGGCTGCTGGGGATAGTTTTTCGGTCGCGGCCGCGAGACAAGGGTCAGGCGGCGAAAGCAAAGTCCAGGGCGCGAACGAGGCGAATTAGCTACAACAGGCACAGGCCGGCCGGCCCGCTGCTGGGGACACACGAGAAGAATGAGAATGTCCCCCCCCCTTGGCAGGGCGCTACGGGGGCAGGGGCAGGGGCAGGTAGCAAGCTTCTAAGCCGACCCCTCTCCTCCTAGAAAACGTCGGGCGGGGGGGGAGTTGGCAGCCCCCTTCTTACAAACCCGCTGCCTTCTTAGAGGGCTCCCCACCCCTCTGCGGTCAGGAGTGGTTGCACAATGTGTCGGGGTGGTGGTCCCGTCGACACGGCACGCCTGGCCAACGGACAGCGTGTCGCTTCGCTCCGCGGCGCGAGGGACCGGAAAAAGAGACGTGGACACCAGGGGCCCTGGGACGTGAACAGCGCGTCGCGCCGAAGCGTGGTGGACCAGAGCAGGCGGCGCGACACGCCCTGCCCTGCGGACAGATAGCATGTCGCTCCGCTCCGCGGGGCGGGGGGCTCGGAAAAAGTCGGGACGCTGACGCTACCAAGACCGGCGGCGCGACACGCCGAGCCAAAGTTCACGACCGTGGAACGCGTGGGGGGAGGCGAGAAGCCCCCCTGCCTTCTTAGAGGGCTCACCCCTCTAACCCTGCGGGATCGTGCAACCTCGCATCGATAAATCGGATCGGATTCGAGACGTGTGTCGGATCTGGCTGCATCGGCACGGAATCGAAACCGAATCGAATCCGCCGCGCCAAAGTAAACAACGGCGCCATACGAGCATCAGGCCGCTTCGGATCGTCGGCACCTCGGAAGACAATCGGATCGAAACGGCCGGAGTCGACGTCAAGTCGGATCGATCGGATCGAAATGGACCCTGGCCCTGAGGTCGGACCTAGGACGGAACAAAAATATCCTCCAGGAGCAAGAGCAAAACAGGGCTAGGATCGGGATAAATCGCTCCAGAGCGTTCCGGAGCGCTCTCAGAGCGAGCGTTCCGGAACGCTCTGGAGCGGCCGCGGCACCCAATACATCCTCCAAACCCGTCGGTTCTCAGAGATTTCGAGTTATCCCGATCCGATTTTGTCCCGATCTTCGCGTCGTTTTGATGAGACCCTCCGCCAGCCAAACTGAAGAACATTCGATGGTGCCCTCCCCCAGGCTGCACAAAAAGCACCCAGCAAACACGAAGAAACCTAGGGGGCCAGCCCTCCCAGAACCGACCTCGATCCTGCACTGGGAATCACAAACAGATAAACATACACTTGTGGAGGCCCGCGCGGACTTCTTGGACCTGCGCTGGACCCCCCATCCCTGGCGCGCCCCGCGCGCCAGGGGCGGCGCTGGAGGCGCCGCCAGGGGGGCCTGGCGCGAATCCGAGACATCCGCGCGGAGCGCCAAAGGTTCGTGTTGGTGCCGTGTTTTTTTTTTCCGCTTCGAGAAAATTTAGGGGGCTCTCACACCTCGGTCCGGCCGTACAGTCGGGGCCTTGACCCAGGGAACCCTAAATAAGGAACGAGGCCCCTATTTTCCATAAGTTGAACTTCGATTTCCCATCGAAAACCAAAGGATAACCTGCCTGAGGCAAGCTGCGAAACACTTCAGGAACACGGAGCCCCTCCCCAACGAAAAGAGTTCCTTCTCCAGGGCCCCGACTGTACCCACCTCTCGCTCGCCGCCAACCTCCCCGAGGGGCGCGGCTGGCCCCCGCCCAGCAAGGCTCGTGCGCACTCCCGCCTCCCACCCGCGAGAGGAGCCTGGCGCGCTCGCTGGCGAGAGGAGCCTGCCCGCTCGGGTGCCCCCCTGGAATGCACACACAGACGCCACCCGACGAACTTTGCATGTACCTTCAGGCCGGGGACCGCGTGCAAAGCTGGTGGCCCTCGGTAGTGATTCATACACCACCACCCCCCCCGGAGGCCCAGGAGCAATCCACAGGAGGGCGTCTGTGTATAGTTTCTCGCGGCGGAGCTTGGATGCCCCGCCCGTCCGGGTCCGCCGCCGGCCCGCCCGCCCGCCCGTCTGGGCCCGGTCGCCCCCCCCTCCGACGTCTGCAGCACGAGCTGCCCTATGTCGCTGGCGCCCTCGGCGCGCTCGGCCTGCGCGGCCGCCAACTGGTCGACCCGCGCCTGCCAGAGGGCTGCGATGGGTGGGGGGTCGAGGGGACGGGACCTGGGGGTGCACCTTCTCCTCCTCCTCCTCCTCCTCCTCATCCTCCTTCTCCTCCTCTTCATCCTCCTCCTTGTCCTCCTCCTACCTGTCCTCCTCGTCCTCCTCCTCCTCCTCGCCCTCCTCCTCCTCCTCTCCCACGTCAACCTCCTCCACCTCCCCCCTGTCCTCCTCCTACCTGTCCTCCTCGTCCTCCTCGGCCACCTCGTCATACTCCTCGTCCTCCTCCTCGTCGTCCTCCTCCTCCTCGCCCTCCTCCTCCTCCTCCTCCTCCTCCTCTTCCTCCTCCTCCTCTGGAGCCTCTGGAGCCTCGGACAAGTCACTCCCGCAGCGGACCGCAAGAGCGCCTGACAGGATATGTATGCCTGGGGGGGTCAATGCACAGGGAACGGCCGTCCAACAACCTCCTTCGTTGTCGGGTTGATCCCTGCCTTGAGCTGCTTCCCTGCTACCCCAAACCCCATGTCCTGTCGGCGGGCAGCGGGCGGCCACTCCTTTGGTCTGACCCGTCCCGTACGCGCCGCACTTGTTGCAGTAGTACGTGTCGCCCGCTACCCACAATCTGTGGGATTCGTGAGACCTACTTACAATATTGGGGGCCCCTGGGCATGGAAGACGAACGATCCGAACCCGACGAGCCGACGACAGACCACAAGTCCTGCACCCCCTGAGGTCCCCCTCACGATGCACCAGGTGCCCATTGTCACCCTTCACCGGGACTAAAGTACAAACGAGATCTGTCCCCACTTTCTGAGGGGGCAGGCTTTTTGGCTTCCTTAACTTAGCTACATCAGGGAACCCGACGCGGCTCTGTTGATACAGAGTGCCTCCGAGTAGCCGAGTGAACTGCCTGGCGTGCTCCTCAGCCCACTTCAAACGGTCCTGAAGATGCGGGATCCTGGGATGTTGAATGGCACCTAACCGAGCATACTTGTCGGCCACAGCATTGCTGCCAGGAAACCACCGATCTGGATACCCCCGATTACTAAGCCATGCCCGAGAACGATGGGAGGGCATCCAAACCAGGTCCATAATATGGTTGGGATGGGTCGCACATGATTTCAGGCCCTTTGTCCAAGCCCTTGACCAAATTGAGGTGGTCAGTTATCACAGTCGCCGCCGTGCCCATGAGGCACAAGCACTTGTAAAAGGAATAAAGTTCAGCCAGTCCTGCTGATTGGACGGGTCCAGGGACAGGCCCATATGCTACGGCAGATACCTCCTCCTCGGGCCCAGGAGCCAGGGAAACAACGGCCCATCCTGAACGGGTCCTCCATTCAACCGTCGGGTCGAGTCCAGAACCGTCGATGAAGATCTCAGCCCCAAGATGTGCTGAAGCAGCGGGTCTCCAAACATATCCAGCTTCCGAGCCCTGGAGAGGAAGTGGAAACTCATCACGCTTGCTCGAGGTCACACCATACTCCGTGAGTGGACAATCTCCTGCCTCATGGTAGATGGAGTGCAATTCGCCGAAACCTTGCTCTCGCCGCCATGCAGCGAGTCCGTCACAAACATGTAAACGATGCCCTGTAGACCCTGGTGCTTGCTGACACCATCGGCATGTCGGGCTGAGCTCATATCTCTCCTGGAATAGCTTCGACTGCGTCCAGAGGCCTCCAGAACAGTGAGCGATCACTAAATCAGCTTGGATGTTCTCTCCCCTCCTCCTCCTCCTCCTTCTCCTCCTCCTCCTCCTCCTCTTCCTCCTCTTCCTCATCTTCCTCCTCCTCCTCCTTCTCCTCGTCCTTTTCCTCCTCGTCCTCCTTCTCCTCCTCATCCTCCTCCTCCTCCTCTTCCTCCTCTTCCTCATCTTTCTCCTCCTCCTCCTCCTGGTCCTCGTCCTTTTCCTCCTCGTCCTCCTTCTCCTCCTCGTGCTTTCTTTGACGATGGCGTGAGAGCCGTACCGACGCTGCCTCCCCCCAGGGGCAATCGCCCCTCGGAGCGGGCGATCAAACTGCGGCCTGTGGGATAACGAAAAGGACAAGCCGAAAGAACCCCCAAGGGTGGGTTAGCGAGGCCCCCCTGTGCCCAGGCGGGGGGGGAGAGGGAGATGAAGGACAGGATGCTTCAATCTCAATGGAGGAAGGGAAGTGGGGAGGGAGAAGGAGAGAGAGAGAGAGAGAGAAAGAGAAGGAGAGAGGGAAAGGGAGAGGAAGGGAGAGAGGGCCAGGAGAGACAGGGCGAGAGGGAGAAGGAGAGGGAGGACAGGAGGCGCAAACCGGGAGGGAAAAAGGAACATGGGGGGCAGACGATCCCTCCCTCGCTCGATGGGTCCCTCGGCTCGCCTTCCGCTCGGCCCCCCTCCGCACCGTCTCCTCCTCGTCCCGCTCGCCGGCCCCACCAGCGGCCGTCCACGCCATGTTCCCTCGGGTCACCCCTCGCACGCCCGACGGCGGGGCGGGGGAGGGACGCTGGCGGCACCCGGAGGATTCCCATGCCCTCAGTAGCAGTAGCAGGGGGGGGCGCAAGGGGCCTGCCTCGGCCGCGGGCGTGCAGGGTTTGTTCCGCGGGCGAGGGGCGAAGAAAGCCGTGGTGGGCCTGTTTTCCACCACCACCACCACCATAAGTTGGGGGGGGGAAGGAGGAGGACGAGGAGGAGGACGAAGAGGAGGAGGAGGAGGAGGAGGAGGAGGAGGAGGAGGAGGAAGGAGGAAGGAGGAGGAAGGGAGGGAGGAGGAGGAGGAGGAGGACGAGGACGAGGAGGAAGGGAGGAGCGCCAGCGCGGCGTGTGCTGGCGTGGGAGTCCGGCGGCGGCTGGCGGCCTGGACATAGCAGGCGCGGCGGCGGCCAGGCCGCCCACAAGGGGGGTTAGGGGAGGCGACAAAGGGGCCCCGTCCTCGCCCTGCCACCGCGGGGGAGCCCCGCAGACACATAGCCTCCTCCCTCCTCCTCCCCTCCTCCTCCTCCTCCTCTTCCTTCCTCCTCCTCCCCCGCGACCTCCTCCTTCCTCCTCCTCCCCCTCCTCCCCCTCCTCCCCTCCTCCTCTCCTCCTCCTCCTCCTCCGCCCTCCTCCTAAGCTCCTCCATCCTCCTCCTCCTCCTCCTCCTCCTCCTCCTCCTCCTTCCTCCTCCTCCTCCTCTCCTCCTCCTCCCCTCCTCCTCTCCTCCTCCTACTCTCCGCCTCCGCACTACTCCTCCTCTCCTCCTCCTCCTCCTCTCCTCCTCCTACTCCTCCTCCTCCTCCGCCTCCTCTCCTCATCCTCCTCCTCCTCCTCCTCCTCCTCCTCCTCCTCGCTCTCCTCTCTCTCCTCCTCCTCCTCTCCTCCTCCTCCTCCTCCTCCTCCTCCTCCTCCTCCTCCTCCTCCTCCTCCTCCTCCTCCTCCTACCCCTCCTCCTCCTCCCTCCTCCGCCTCCTCCTCCTCCTCCTCCTCCTCCTCCTCCTCCTCCTCCGCGGGGACCCTCGCCCGCCGAGGCAGGGGCAAGGTTCCCAAGAGTGGGACTGTAGTGGCCGCCTGGGGGATTCCGCTGGGCGTGGGGAAGGTTTGCTCTTCCCGTGGCGGCGGCCGCGCGGAGGAGCTCTGCGCTGTCCCCTTCCCCCCCGAGCCTGCCGTGCCCGCCCCCTTATCCTAGAGTCGAGAGCTGCGGTGCTGCAGAGACAGCGACACTGGTGCTGGCGGCCTCCTGGGCGGCGCGTGTGCGGTGAAACGGCTGACACGATGAAGAATGGTAGAGGTGATGGGAGAAGCAGAGAATGCGACTGCAGGCGGCGGATGGGGTGGCTGTAAACAAGAGGGTGCGACAGAGGTTCAGGTAGTGGAGGCCAAGCCGTGAACGCAGTAGCCCTGGCCAACGCCCGTGCGGCGGACGGCTGGATGTGCATCCTGCCCACCCCGTCCTGGGCTTGCGCTGGGCGCCCTGCTGTCCCTTGTGGAACAGCTGGGTTCGGAGAGCAGCCGCGCAGATCAGGGGCGCGAAGCAGCCCCGAAGAGCGCCCCCCACCCCGCACACCGCTCCCCCTTCCCTCCGGTTCGCCCGCTTCCCTCCACGACCACCAAATGAACCCGCCCCCACTCCCAGTGGCGCCAGGCGGGGCGCGGGCACTGCAGGCCAGGCAAAGCTGGGGGGGGGGGGCCTTGTACGGCTGCGGGTGGCCGTGGGCGGCAGAGGTGACGGGCTGCGGGCAAGTTGAGAGCGACTGCGGCCAGGCGAGGCTCGGTGGGCAGAAGAGGAGTAGGCAGAACCGGAGAAGTTCAAAAAGGGTGCACAGGTGGAGTGCTCTGACCGATGGGCAATGGCTGCGTGCCACGGCCACCCTCGCCCTTGCTAGGACTCCTCCTCTACCTCCTGCTCCTCCTCCCCCTCCTCCTCCACCTCCTCCTCCTCCTCCTCCTCCTCGTCCTCCTCCTCCTCCTCCTCCTCCTCCTCCTCCTCCTGTCGCTGTCGCTGTCGGCATCAGTGTCCGCGCGTGGACGCTGCCCTCTCCCCCCTCCCAGGAGCGACAGGCTGGACCAGAGTTCCTGGCCGTGGGCACGATCAATCGGCAGGAGGCCACCCTGGGGGCGGGGTAGTTCGGATCCCCCAGCTCAGGGGGGGGGGGGGGGCAAAGCGGCGAGGCGTGGGCGTGGCGGTCCTCCTCCGTCTCCTCCTCCTCCTCCTCCTCCTCCTCCCTGCGTTCTTGGCGTTCGTCTTCCTCCCTGTGCCCCCTCCCCCTCCATGACGTCATCCTCCTCTCGTAAGTGGCCCGCGAGCCAGTCCGCGCGAGGGCGTTTCTCTCTGGGGGGTTCTGCGTGGGGAGGGGCAGGATGGGGCGAGGGGTACTTCCTCCTCCTCCTCCTCCTCCTCCTCCTCCTCCTCCTCCTCCACCAAGTGGGTAGTGGGGTGCGGGGCGGCAGCGCCCACACAAGCTTGGATGCGCGCCACTGGCGACGGCCACGGCCACGACGGCGGAGGAGGCGCTAGCAGCCCTGACGCGAGGACCCGTCCCGGGCGCGGCACATCGCCCCGCGAGGACCGGCCGAGCCACACCACAGAACACCAAGAGCCTGGCCCTCCACGCCCTTTACCAGTGGCATGCGAGGCCCCCCCTCGACGAGGAGCAGTCTCTCGCACTGCCCTGCCACGGGACGCCCGCGCGGCAACACACCGTGCGAAGCCACGTGCGCGAGGCCCGAAGAGCCGTTGAGGTGACGGCCCCGCACTACCTGTACGGATGGATCCTCATCCTCCTGCTTCTGCTGCTCCTCCTCCTCCTCCTCCTCCTCCTCTTCATATTCTTACTATTATTCGTATCCGTATGATTAGTATGCTTATAATTCTTAGTCCGATGCTTGTTAGTTTCATAAGTTGTCCGATCCGTAGTATGCCTAGAGGTATGAGTGCTAGTATTATTCGTATTATTGTTATTACTGTGATTACGAGCATTTGTCTTAGTATGATTATTCGTTCTCGTACTCTTCTTTTCTCACTAGGATGATGATGATTAGCATTATTATTTTTAGCATTAGTATTATTATTATAATTATTATTATTAATAGTATTATTATTATTATCACTATCATTATCATTATTAGTATTATTGTTATTATCATTATTATTATTATTCGTCATCCTCCTCCTCGTCATCCTCCTCGTCCTCCTCCTCCTTCTCTTCCTCCTCCTCTTCCTCCTCCTCCTCGTCCTCCTAATTCCTCCTCCTCCCTCCTCGTCTTCCGTTGCAATCCAAGTGGCAACGCCTTGAGCTGTTCCAAGAGTTCCTTCTCCTCCGCGGCGAGGCGTGAACCAGGCTCCTTCCGGGCCGAGGAGTACGTCATTCGCGAAAACACAAAGTCCAAATACTACGACCCATTCTCACATTCCCCTGTTTCCCTTGCCCCTCTTTGTTCTCATTATCCATACCATCCTCCTCCGCCTCCCCCTCCTTCTCGTCATCATCATCATCATCATCATCATCATCATCATCATCATCATCATCATCATCATCATCAGCATCAGCATCAGCATCAGCATCAGCATCATCACCATCATAATCATCATAATCATCACCATCAGCATCATCAGCATCAGCATCATTATCATCAGCATCAACATCATCATCATCAGCATCATCATCATCAGCATCATCATCATCAGCATCATCATCATCAGCAGAATCAGCATCATCATCATCAGCATCAGTATCATCATCGGCAGCATCAGCAACATCTGCATGACAATCACACTCCTTCACCTCCTCCTGCTCCTCATCATCCGCCCCGTGTTGTTCCTCATCATCATCATCACTACCACCATCAGCGTCATGGTCACCAGCATCACCATCAGCATCGTCAGCAGCATCATCAGCAGCATCATCGCCATCATCGTCATCATCAGCATCATAATCATCATCAGCGTCATCATCAGAATCCTCATCCTCATCCTCATCCTCATCCTCATCCTCATCCTCATCCTCATCATCATCATCATCATCATCATCATCATCATCATCATCATCATCATCATGTACATCGTTGTCGTCATCATCGCCAACGTCATCGCCATCGTCGTCATCATCGTCGACGTCTTCGTCGACATCGTCATTGGCATCGCCGTTGTCATTATACTCAACATCACCACCGTCTCAGCACCATCCGAATGATCATGACCATTGTAAACTTCAGCAGCATCATTATCATCATTACCATCACCATCACCAGCATCATCATCACCATCATCATCAACCCCAACATCGACATCGGCATCATCATCACCATCCCCGTCAACATCACCATCATCATCATCAGCAGCAGCATCAGCATCATCCTCATCATCATCATCGCCATCATGATCGTAAGCATCATCATCATCGTCGTCATGGTCATCGTCAACATCAACAACCATCACCATCCGCAACTTCATCCACATCCTTCTCCTGTCCCTCCGCCATGTCATCCTCATGCATCCCCCCGATCCCCCTCCTCAGGATGCTCCCCTGCTGTCCCCTTCCGCCGCAAGTTGATTGGCGTTTGTTATATCGACAACGAGCTCTGGAAATCTTGGCTTAAAGCCGACTGCGAACGTTATGTAGAGGGTGTTGGTAATGAACTTGTTTCGTTAGGCTGATTCTCGCCCGCGGTGCAAGCGCATCTAGGGGCCCAAATAGCCGCAGCAAGTGAGAGGAGACTCGCACTGGGAAGACAGATGGCGAGAGGTGGCAGGCGTCATCCGGGATGGCATCATAACGAAACTCCCCAGAAGGGACGGACGTATCCAAGGTCTGCGCCAGTCCAATTTACTTCTTTGCCGGACACCGCCATGTACGGGACTTGCCCTCCGCAGCTGCTGGGGCACACAGCCCACAATAAACCACGCAAACGCGGCTCCTCAAAACAAACTTCGATGAAGGTGCGATGTCAACCGTGCGGTACAGGTTAAGTAAGAGCCTCGATCAGTCCACGCCTCTTGAAGCACATATAGGAAGGCATTCATGATGTTGAGTTGTCGGTGACTATCCTCGGCCACACAAAAGTTCAAACTCTTCCCAACCATATGCCGCATCACACCATTTTGCTTCCATGAACACAACCAACAAAGAATTCCGCTGCCCTTCAAGAGTGCTACCCTGATCGCTCCCTTCGCGAAAAAAACATGCGCGGACCACAAAACAGACTGCCGTCATTGCCGCCCCACGCAGGCACCTGCAGAACTAAAGAACGCGGCATGGCAGACACGCGTAGTTGTTACCAGCAGCGCTTAAGAGAACCATTAAAGCAGCAGATGTGGTGGATAAATCCTGCCCCCCAACACAAGCAGAGGAGGGGGGAAAGAAAAAGGAGGACACAGAAGCCAGAGGGTAGAGAAGAAGTGAAGACGTATGGCGCAAGGGTAAACGAAAAACGATTGGAGATCGCCGGAGGCTCGCGATCCTCACAGGATCGAGTGATCAGAATTAGGCTCCCCATAGCTTCAAACATCAGTCCGTCTCAGCTGATGGGAAGCAACAACAGAAATAGTTGCAATGCCCTGGCAACTCCATCCAGGTGACTTTTTTCACGTGGAGCACAACGGGCGGGGGCGTAAAACCACATCGCGAATCCAAAGGCCGCTAGGAAAACCGAGAACACCGCACAAACTGACCTGCGATAGGCATGGACCGCCGCCTGAACAACAAATCGAGAACGCACCTGCGACTGGAGGGAGGAAGACGAAGGAGAAAGAGAGGGAGGAGAGGGGGAAAAGGAGGAAGAGAGGAGGATACAACGCTGCGCACAGATTCCGGGCGGCACCTCTGAGAGGGCGGCCAAAGAGTCTGGGCAGCCTGTTTACGGCCTCCCCTCGCATGCAGCCAGCGCGGACGCCAATGGAAGGCACGGCGCACGAGCCCCATGGGCGCGCACCGGGACTCGACCCCAGGAATGGGGGGGGGGGGGGGCGGAAAGAGAGGAGGGGGAAACGACCCTCTGATTGCCAGCCTGGAACATATCCCTATCCCTATGCTGGGCACCTCCTCATCACGATGCCAATCTTAAATTTTCCCCTATTTTTTGAGGGCGCATCCCTAAGATTGGCATCGCCTTTTGGCGTGCCAATCTCAGGGATAGGGATACCTTCGAGGCTGGTAATCTTGAGGAAGCGCGCCCAAGCTGCCTGCGCGCGTGCCCTGCGCAGGACAAGAACTCGACCAAAAAGAAGGAGGAAGCTGCCTGCACGCGCGCCCTGCGCAAGACAAAAGCTCGACCGAAAAGGCGGCGTCCGCGCTTCCAAAAAAGCTCGGCCGCCCGATTTCGGGGGGCCGCAGAGCGACGGGCCCCCCCCAAGCTCGACACAGCCAGTGCTAGACACAGCCAGTCCTCCTCCTCCTCCTCCTCCTCCTCCTCCTCCTCCTCCTCCTCCCCCTCCTCATCCTCCTCCTCCTTCTCCTCCTCCTCCTCCTCCTCCTCTCTCCTCCTCCTCCTCCTCCTCCCTCCTCCTCCTCCTCCTCCTCCTCCCCCTCCTCCTCCTCCTCCTCTCCTCCTCCTCCTCTTCCTCCTCCTCCTCCTCCTCCTCCTCCTCCTCCTCCTCCTCCTCCTCACGGGGCTGCATCCACAGGGGGGAGATGATATGAGATGATCCTCGATGTCGGCGTCGGTGGACATATTCCGGTCACGAATATTACCACTGTCGCCGCGATCGGGATCTTCTTCCCTCGGTGGAGGCACACCGCCGATATGGGTGTTGGCGTCAACCAACCTGTAGGCCTGCGACCTCAGCCGCTGGCGGTGGAGGAACGACGCAAGCACTCGCGGCCACCAGGCCCGCAGTGCCACCCACCAGCGGCCTCCACGCGGCTCGTTAGCCGCGGCGCCACGGCGAACCGCCCTAACCGGGACTGGGTCCAGGCACGACCCCCCGGGTGGGCGACCCGGGAGAGCAGCAGCAGCAGCAGCAGCAGCAGCGGCAGCAGCAGCAACGGCAGCAGCAGCAACAGCGGCAGCAGCAGCAGCAGCAGCAGCAGCAGCAGCAGAAGCAGCAGCAACAGCGGCAGCAGCAGCAGCAGCAGCAGCAGCAGTGGGCGGAGGATGGGGATGACGACGCCACCTGGAGCGTTCCACCCGCCGCACCCGGCAGGCTTCGCACCGGCTGCCACGACTTCCAGCCGTGTCGCGGACCAGGCACCCAGGGGAAGGAGGAGGAGGAGGAGGAGGAAGAGGAGGAGGAGGAAGAGGAGGAGGAGGAGGACGAGAAGGGGGAGAGGGAGACGCAACCAGCAGTGTGCATACCGTGCCCGCCCCCTTGGGAGGAGGGAAGAGGTGAAGCCACTCGATCAGTGAAGTGGGAAGGCGCTTAAAGCAGATTGGAACAAGGCCAGGTTCCAATCTGCCTTCAGGCCTGGGGGCAGGCTCCAATCTGACCTGGCAGACTGGAACCTGGCCAGGCCTGGGACTCCAAAAAACACCTACCTTCAACGACCGATGGGTATGCATACCATGACAACGCCGACAGAGCCAACACCTATCTGCATCAGCTCCTCGAGGCGAGGAGGCCCAGGCGAGCGCGCGTCGAAAGGACCCCTCCCAGGAGAAAAGCCGGGAGTGGCACGGCGCTCGCACGGCCGCGGCCCCGCCGCAGCCCCGCCGCAGGGCTCCCGAGGCTCGAGGGCCCCTCGCAACGCACTCGCGCAGGCCGCGGGGCCGTGCGGCGCGCGGCGTGCCGGCGGGCGCCCGGCGCCCGGCGTGCCGGCGCGGCGTGCCGGCGGGCGCCCGTGCGGCGCCCGGCGTGCCCGGCCTGCAGTGGCCTGCAGGCAGGCGCGGGCCGCGGCGAGCGCCCCGCGGGGCAGCTCTCAGGGCGTCAACGCGCTGTGGGCGGCGCCATCTGCCGGGCACACTTCCCACCACCGCTACCGTACCCAGACATGCTCGCGTCGTTAAAAAAAATATCAGGACGAAGGTATTTCGCTATTTTCGGCCCCTGGGGGCCCTCGCCGGGCCCCAGGACCGTCAGAAAACGGCGCAGGATGACAAGCCGGCCCTGGGGAAAGGGTCGGGACTTCTCGGGACGCCGTCCTGAAAAAGTCGCGACGTCGCGCGTCTGGGCATGTAGGACGGGGGAGAAGGGAAGATGAGGAGGTCCTCCTCCTCCTCCTCCTCCTCCTCCGCCTCCTCCGCCTCCTCCTCCTCCTCCCTCGGAGCGCCCTCGGGACCGTCGGGCAGTGATCCGACCATGCCAGATGGATCGCAGGCGCGCGGCCAACGGCCGCGAAGCGGCGCTCTGCGGGCAGCCGCGGCGCGCGCTCGCAGCGCACGACCCGCATGCCCAGAGAGACCGCCGACGC